TAAAATGACAAATACGTTTTTGGGTGCCCAATCACACTCTAATCAAAGATTGGTAGCAACTCCTTGAACCATGTTTAGCATTAACCGGTCAACAAAAACAATTTCGAAACGAGACACCCGCTTTCTTTTCGGAAAAACCGTTTGACAAGTATGGTAAACTCATATTAGTGATTAAAGATTAAAAGAGTGAATAATTAATGGTCATAAGTTCATAATAGGCTAGCGTACTTATAAATTTATGAAATTCATGAAATATAACAAAGTAGATGTGTACGTGAGATCACTTGAGTGATCCAATGTGACGCTTAAAGATTCAATGATGAGTAAAGGTCGAGTTTGAGGGTGTTACAAAACATGTGTACTACAGAGTATTGGGTTTTGAAACCCATAGGTTTAGTTTCGATACTAAAATTCTATTAGATTTTTGGGTATCGAAATTGAACATTGGATTTTGATATCAAAAGTGTGGGTTTTGAAATCGACATACCTTAATTTGATAAATTTGTGTTTTAAACTCTTTCTGATGATTCATATTTCTTTGGGATCTTTATGTTTGAAATAGTTGATAATTTTACCCCTAATTTGATTATTAATGATTATTTGAATATATATACGATTTAGTTTAGATTCAACTCTGTCTGAATTGTAATTAGTCAATGTGACATCTCCAACCTAAATTTTAACCAAGCCAAGGTTGGGGAATTACACGTATCCTATCAAGTGATGTAGTGAATGCTCAAAATGATGGAAGTGTTTTTCTATAGGCTACATATCTCTTAATAACACGATTGGTGTATTTTCGAAGTTTTTTTCTCCAAGATATAGGTAGTTTTGAGTTACCAACAAAAGGAAAAAGTTGTTCACTAGGAGAAGATTTAATACTTGTGTTAATTTTTAGGGATGGAGACTCTAATTCAGGTTCTTGACAATTTTGAACTTTTGTGATATAGTCTAGATTTTCAGTAGGTTATTTTCTCCTACACACAAAAGATCAAAGAGTACCTTGTTTTACCAGCATGCTCAAACATTGTTCATTGAAGGCGTCGATGATTGTATCGATGGGATGATTGTCGGAGTTTGAGTTGATCTCCGACGATGATATAGGTGAAATCAATTTCTAGGATTAATAACCTAACTTGATTGTGTGAAATTGAGAGAAAAAAAAAAGAAAATTTCTAATCTAAATTTAATTAAAAAAAATAGAAAACACAACATGTTTTTATAGGCTACGAGTTAAACGTTAAATCCTACTAGTTTTGTTTTATTCCTAACTTTTATCTCATAAAACTTATCTTATCTCTCAAGAATTTCTTTTTATTAATCTGGTTAAGTATAAGATATTATATGTTCTATGATAACTCTCAACCATTTGGCAATGAACGCTAACACTCCTATATTCATAGTGCTCGAATCCGAAACCTCAAGAAATTTAATTTTATTCGTACAATATAGATAATGTATAAATAAATTAAACGTTATCTTCTAAAATTAATTTAATTTTTAAATGAAATAAAATTTCTAATTGTCGATCATTTTTTTTATAAATTTAAATTTGATTTGATTGTTAATTTAGGCAGAATAATCTCACATACCTTGTGCAATTGTGAATTCATTTCCCCTTGAAAGATTTAAAAGATAGGTAAACTACACTATTCATCATTGAACTTTACTCTCTCCCCTATCTCATTCACTGTACTTTCAAAATTTTTAATTTATTCACTAAACTTTCGAATTGTTCATGTTTTGATCACTCTAAATTACTTTATTATAATTTTTGTATGACATGATATTTTTTATCATTATTAAAATATAAAAATAATTTAAAATAAATAATAAAATAATATTTTATTATTATTAAATTTAAAAAGATTTAAAATAATCACTACCCCTTCTCGTCATCGTCGGTTAGCGTCGGCCTTCGGAACCTCTAGCCGTTTGATCGCAAATTGTACCAAGATACTCGTTTCGACACGTTGAGTCCAAATATGGTGGTTGTTTCAACAGAAAATGTCAGAAACATGTGAATCTAGACATAAAATTTTCGGTCTCCTTGCTTTCAATATCCTATTTGTGGACTTCAGAGCATATTATGAAAAATGAAGGTCAGATTCGGACCCAGGGAGTCTAGGCAAAGCTACCCATGAAATCTTGGGACCGAACGACTACCATATTCAGTGGCCAACTTTTCGTTTTCCTCACTTTTAATCGTATTTAGAGCATGTTCCGAAAAAATAGAAGTCAGATTCAAACTCAGGGGGTCGAGACAAAGCGACCAATAAAATTTAGGATCGAACGATCACCATCTACGATCGTTGATGGTGGCATCTAATGACTGTGAACAGTGGGTGATCACCATCTAGTTTTAATTTTATGTTTTGAATTATTTTTATATTAAAATAATAAAAAATGTCACATCATATAATAATAATAGAAAATAATTTAGAGTGACCAAAACATGATCAATTCAAAAGTTTAGTGTGTAAATTAGAAAAATTAAAAGTACAATCAGGGAAACAAAAGATAGAATAAAGTTCATTGATGAATGGTGTAGTTTATCCTTAAAAGATTACTAAGAATTTATCTTGTATAATTTGATTTCTAGTTACTTAAAGCACATTTAATCATATTTTTATATTATGTCTTAATGCATTTTTAAATGCCTAAACTATACTATACCTTAAATTGATTTTTGGTGCCTAAAGATTTTTTTGCTAAAAATAGGTGCCTAACGTTTCCAACATTACACTTTTAGGTGCATGAACCATAACGGCCAACGTAACGACCGTTAAATTTGGCCGTTATCTACCACGTGTGACACATATAAAATTTTAAAAAAATTAATATTATAATTAAAAAAAAGAAAAAGCCAAAAAATATTTTTCTCCCCATCAATCGGTCACCGTCGGTCTGTGGCTATCACGTTGATCCCATTAGAATCGTCTTGCCACTACGATCAAAACCAACTCCCCAACTCACCGTGAAACTGCACCGATCGTCGTGAAAAGTGTCTCGAAGGGTCACTAGATTTCTAAGTTTTCCTTGGCTATTTTCCCGTAATTTCGAGGGCTACAACTAGTCGTACGTTACACGACCGCCACCATTGAGTTCCTCGTCTTGCTCCAAACAAAACCCAGTTGGTGGTGACCCTTCGTCGTCATAGGAGGTGGAGGGATGGAGGGAGAGAGACGACGTGGGTTTTTTTTTTTTAAAATAATTTTTTATTATTAAAAAAATAAAAAAAATATAACGGTATGAACCTAAAACTGTAACGGAAAAACGTTAAGCTTATATTTTTAACGAAAAATTCTTTAAGTACCAAAAATTAATTTGAGTTATAATTTATGCACTTAAAAGTATATTAAGCCTTTTATTATTCGTCGATATTTCTCCATCACTACTGTGTCATTTTGAAATGCCAAGTTGAGATGCTTGCTAATTGGTATATATTCAGGTATGTCTAGTTGGAAAGCATTTAGCTTCTTTTTTTTGTTGGCCCTTTTGCCTTTCCTATATGTTTATTATTCCATTGGATGATTTTGGAAGCATATCTCTTCTACAATGCCCTTTGGAATCAGCATCATATCAATGGCATCCCTTAATTATTGCTTTGCTTCTATCCTTATCTTCAAATGCTCTTTTTTTATATTTTTTTTATTAATCTAGAGTGATTGATAGGAGGTATATGTTTTAAATATTCTTAACAATTTGATAATGAAAGTTCAAACACTCTTGTAGTATCTGGTGTCGAATCTAGAACTTCTAAGAATAACAACCATTCCTCTAACCATTGAGATAACTTAGTTTGTGCATATTCAAATGCTTTTAAAAACCTGATAAACAATATAAGATTGGGACTTCACATTTACATGCATTGACAAATCCTCATTCATATCATATGTTTTGATTCCTTTGTTCCATGCTTATGAAACTATATATATATATATATCAATAAGTTTCAATATTCATCAGCTTCAGAATCTCCATCAGAATAATTCCATTCCCACCCAAAAATGGCCTTAGGATAATTAGGAAATAACCAGTTTACCCTTTTTTAGGGAATATGAAAAAGTTTAGATATGACTATGTTCAGCAGCAAGGAAAGTTTAAGTTGGAGTGTAGGTCAGATATGAGATAAGACTCTTGAAACTGGGGCATGTGCTTGATTTATTTGTATCTCTGTTTGAAAAATGACTTATCTGTTTAACATATATACTCTTTTTTTATATATAGAATTATTTGTTGTTTATTTAAACTAATTTGGACTGTTTATATGAAAACACTAATTGATGAGACAAGTCCAATGCTCAAAACATTTTCTGACTCAGCATTCCACCACAATTATTTTATCTCCAAAGCAAAGAAGCTTCACCCTCACAAATGCTTCCATTTCATTATATGTTCTAATTTGATGTTTCTTTAGAATCAGAATCAGATATTGGGTGAAAAATTTATGTTAAAAAGGTGAAAATAGATTTTTAATAAAAAAATAAAATAAAAAATATATAGAAATTTAAAATTTTCAGGAAGACAATCATTCTCACCTGCTCCCTTCGGTCAACTCCTGACTGGAACAACAAGATTCTAAGAAGAAGCACAAGGGGTTCCAAATGCATTTCTCCTACTGTCCACTACATCAAGCAACCCACATTGATCCTATTGTTTATTAAAAGAGACACTTAAGTTGATTTGATTCTTTAATTTTTTAAAGTAATTGTATCAAAAACCTATTCAAGCTGTCGGTATGAGATTAAAAACATTTCAATTTATGTTGAAAAACATTCAAACATATCCAATAAAGTAATTTTCAAACAGGGGTTGGACTGGTGCTGTCTTTGTGTTACACAATCAGACTACGTTTCGGACAATGACTCGTGGAGACAGATACATGGATTACTATTTCATCCAACATGGAGAATCATGTACTTGTTGATCCAATAGGTGTTAAAATGTAAAAGGTGAAAAAGATTAGCATGGAATCCTAAGCTTGAAATGGCCAACATAGTTGACCACTTTCCATTAAAGTTCCTCCTATTTAACTACACTGCTCTTCTATTATCACAATTTCTTCCTACACAGAAACATATCTCTGAGTTGAGAACCTTAGTTTATGCCATGGCTTCCCACGGCGATGAGACGTCAACCGATGATCAAGATACCAAATCGAGAACAAGCGGTGGCAATGATAACTTGGGGGACTTGTTGAGTTTAGGGCTCAATAGAAACGAGGCTGCAAATCAATCAAAGGCAGCCAGCAATAACAAGGTTTTCTCCTGCAACTTTTGCATGAGAAAGTTTTACAGCTCTCAGGCCTTAGGCGGTCACCAAAATGCACACAAGAGGGAAAGAGGGGCAGCTAAAAGGTTGCAGTCTCATAAAATGATGATGGCGACAATGGGGTTTCCTCTCAATCCTATTGTGGTTCGATCACTAGGGGTTCAACCCCATTCTCTTGTTCACAAACCGATGAGAGAAGGGTCTGCAATGGTGGCAAGATTTAGAAGTGACTCAAGTTCTGGGTTTGGGATGGCTTTGACACCATATTTGGTTGAAGAATCAATGGATTTGATGTGGCCTGGAAGCTTCCGCCTTGATAAATTGCCAAAGCAAGAGCCAGCTTTACAAAAGCTTGACTTAAACCTCCGATTGTAGTCATACAAGTGTTGTCTTTGTATAATATATATGTTTCATACTCTCATCTTTTGTGTAATAATATGTACATATTATCTTTCTGCAAAATGGCCCCGGACTCTGCTTCTACAATTCTCCATTAATATATCAACTAGGGAAGCTGTGCGGCGCTTAAAAAATGGTATGACTGGTTAAACAGGTGACGGGTTAAAATTTGCACCGATTATGTTATATCATTTAACCGGAAATATTATCAAGTACAATAACATATTAGATAGCACTTATATAATGTAATAGGTAGCACTTATATAATAAAATAGGTATTTAACCGGAAATATTATCAAATACAATAACATATTAGGTAGCGCTTATATAATGTAATAGGTAGCGCTTATATAATAAAATAGACATTTAACCGGAAATATTATCAAATACAATAACATATTAGGTAGCGCGTATATAATAAAATAGACATTTAACCGGAAATATTATCAAGTACAATAACATATTAGGTAACGCTTATATAATGTAATAGGTAGCGCTTATATAATTATCGGTTTCAATGTTTTTGGGATCGATACAATTTTAAATGTATCGACACTTTATGCGCACACCTCGTTGGGCATTCATTCTGGAAAAAAGTATTGACACAAACTTAAAGCGTGTCGATACATTATGTAGACCTATTTTCTAATAAAACCAGTATATTTCTACCTGGTACATTGTAAATTTACCTATTACATTGTAATTATCGGTTTCGATGTTTTTGAGATCGATACTTTTAATAAATGTATCTACACTTTATGCGTGCACCTCGTTTGACATTCATTCTGGACAAAATGTATCGACACTTTTTAAATTTGTGTCGATACATTATGTTGACATATTCTATCATAAAACCGGTATATTTATACCGGTTACATTGTAAATTTACCTATTACATTATAATTATCGGTTTCGATGTTTTTGGGGTCGATACTTTTAGAAAATGTATCGACACATATGTTTACCTATTCTCTCATTAAACCAGTATATTTCACTTATTACTTTATAATAATTGGCCTCGATGTTTTGTTGATCGATACTTACAATAAATGTATTGACACTGTTTTGTAAACTTTATGTTTGAGAATCATACTGAACAAAATATTGGAAACAAATCTTTGTGTTTTCTAATTTTGTCATTAAAAAATTCTATTTTTACCGGTTTTGTTATTGTTGGGCATAACAAAAAAATTACATAAAACATTATTATTTCTACTTATAACATCAATGATTTTTAACATTTCCGGTAAAATACCCAACAAGAACAAAATCGGTAAAAAAACAAAACCGGTAGCGCTTTTACCGGTTTTGTTAAGAAACCCGGTAAAATGCCAAAATAATAACAAAACCGGTAGAAATAATGATATTTTCAGTAATTTTTACCAGGTTTTTTTATGCACAACAATGACAAAACCGGTAGCGTTTTTACTAGTTTTGTTAATAAACCCAGTAAAATGCAAAAAAAAAAATAACAAAACCGGTAGAAATTATGACGTTTTCGATATTTTTTACCGGTTTTATTATGCACAATTACAACAAAATCGATACCGCCTTTTTTAACCGTATATTAAGCGCCGCACCTGAGCATTTCCCTATCAACCAAACTTGAAACTGTCATATAAATTGAATTGATGTAATTCCTAGTGTATCCTATAATTACTGGTACATTTTCAGAGTTTTCTTAACCAATTAACAATATACACACATTACAAATACAACTGATCGAACTCAATACCTTTAAATAAAACAATATTTTTTTACCATTAAGGAAGAGTTTTATTTTATGGAAAATGAATTAAAAAATATTTTTGACATTTTCCAGATTTGATACATAAAAAATATTTTTGACATTTTCCTGTGAATTATCTTCCCCTTTTCAAACGTACAACACAATTTGTAGAAAATAGTTCCTTATAAGTAGGATGTATAAAAATATTCTATCCTAATATTTTGATCTTTTTATCTGATGATTCGATTTGAATATTCAAATATCTAATTCAATTTTTTCGGATAATTCAGATTAGAAATCTGATAAAAAAAATTAGATAATCAGATTGTCGAAACGATTTTTTCCTTAAAGGTGAAAATGAGAAAAGTGAGATTTTGAAAACCACATTAATTCTTAATTATCCTCTTTTTTATTCAAAAACAAATGCGATTTAAAAGACCTCTCGTTTCGAAAATTTTTGGATTTCCTTTACGATCGAAAAAATACGGTTCGAAGAGTCGCCATCAATCTTTGATTAGGGTGTGATTGGGCACCCAAAAACGTTTTGTCATTTTTAAAAAAAATTAATTTTACTTAAAACAATAAATTGAGGTATGCGTTACAAAAAAATGAGTTCAGGAGTCGGTTACGCGTGGGGAATGATTAACACCCCCACAACGCCCTAAATCGGTACCTAGTCGATTAATTAATGTCTTTGCAATGAACTTTACAAATTCGAACTTAATTTGATTTTTGATCCCATAAAATAAAGATGTAAATTTAAAAACATTCAAAGGCACTCAAATAAATTAAATTAAAATTACCGAGTCGTTTTAGAAAGATAAAGAATGTTCGATTATTTACAAATATCGAGACCAGATCTTAAAAGTTATAACAACCTTTTCTCGATAAATTTAAATACCCAAACATTTCTTTTTCTTCCATTCCCAAATTTTAAAGTGATGGATCAATTTTTAGGTGTCACTAATGAGATACACTTTTATTTTAAAATCATTAAAAGTGAATCTCAAATGCGTTATGACAACCCACTTAAAACAATTTTAAATTAAAATTGTATTACCCTTAATCTAATTATATAATATGCCGAGTTATGCAAATGAGGATATCATACAAATTGTGCAAAAAGTATGTCATGTCAAAACTTAATTAAACAAAATTTAAAATATATACAACGTGACATACAGAAAATTACATACATGCATTTAAAATTAAAAACTATAAACCACGCATATTAACATATAATGTACACATGTGACCTAAATATAAAAATGAAAATAAAAACATGACATGCTAAACTACAAATTTTTAGAAAAACATGTATATACATATTTAAAAATAATATGACTAAATTTAAATAAATGTAAAATCAAATCTATAAAATCAAAAATAATTCAATGACCCAAAGATAAAAATGCGCATAAACTAAGATCATATATGTAATTTCTCCTATTTAGTTTAAACTAAAATGAAATGTAAAATAACATAATAGTGCCTGCACAATCGAAAAAAAAAACAGAAAATTGAAACAAACTGGGGATTGCTCTGTAGAATGCGTCTAAATTGAAAGAGTCTAAACAGAATTTACCCCTAAAGTCATGGTGGCTAAAAACTAATTAAACCAACTGTCTAAATATAAATCCTAAACTAAAATGCCTAAGCTAAACTCAATTCACGTACACCCTGCCTCACGTTCACTCTTCTTCTCCAACCCCCCTCTCATTTTCATACACACTGCAGACCAGCTGTCGTTCCTCTCTCGCATGATCACCGGCCACTTTACACTCCCTTCTCCCTTATCTCACAACGTCGTTCTCACAAATCCGCAACTAAATACCACTGGCCACCGTTCCTATGGTGAATCTTAACCATTCGGCCGGTACTAAAACGAGCAGTGAACACAACCCAAAAATCTAAAGAATAAAAAAAATGACTCTATCCCCTTCGATTAAGAGTCATGAATGCTCGACAACACCCCAATCGACCCCTAACTTTGAAAGCCGACAACTTAGACTTTAAACCCCACGCATTATAAGGTAAACTATCGAGACCATCTTCTTTCTATTTTATAATGAATGTATTTCCAACTAACACACCCTTTTATTTTGACAGTGTAGACTTGAACGACCAGGAGGCACAACTAGACAACTAAGGTAAGCATTTAAACTAACTCATTTATGATTTTGAATTGGTTTCGGTTCAAAGCATATGAACATACAAGAAAATAATGAAAGCAATTGAAAACTGAAATTGAAAATAAATACCCTTTTGATATTATATGTTGCTTTGATTCAATGAAAAATGGAGTTCCGCCGTTTCCCTTGATTTTTAAATAAGAGGAAACAATCCCCTCCTTGTACAATTCTTTTTCTTCTCTGTCAAAAGAACCAACATGCTCCCCTTTCTCTTTTCGTTTACAGTGGTTTTCTAAAAACTATTTTTTTTTTCAAAAACTCCCCATTTCCTTAGTGGTTAATTGAAAATTAAAACCCTTATTTACAGTTTCTAGTGGTTAATTCCTGATAACTATTTTTTTGGGTTTTCTAGGGCTTCACGTGGGCTGCTCTCTCGGGTCATTGGTTTGGGCCTCCAACTGCTCTGCTTTGGGTCTGATCCGACCTAGCCCCGGACGAATCGAGTATCTATAGCTGCCCTTCTTTGCTCATTATCGTGTAACGAGAATAGAGAAAAGATCAAAAGATGATCGAATTTGTCCGGTCATGAGAACTTCAAAAGATTAAACCACTCACTGTTATGTCGGGATAACTGAGACTTGAAAAATCTTCAAATAACGAGCCTGCTCCCTATTCATTCAGGAAGTATAAGACTCGAACAATCTTCATAAAATGTGTCTGCTCCCTATTCGTTCAGGGAGTATAAGACTTGAACAATCTTTAATAAACGGGTCCACTCCCTATTTGTTCAGGGAGTATAGAACTCGAACAATCTTTATTAAAGGGGTCCGCTCTCTATTCCTTCAAAGAGTATAGAACTCGAATAATCTTCAACAAACGGGTCTGCTCTCTATTCCTTCAGAGAGTATAGAACTCGAACAATCTTCATAAAATGGGTCCGCTCCCTATTCTATCAGAGAGTATAGAACTCGATCTTCATAAAATGAGTTTGCTTCACTACTCTTCCGTGAAGGCTTAAGTTTGAATTGCTTCATTGCTCTTTCGTGAAGGCGTAAGATTGACCTGTTTCGAAGGTCCAACTTGAAAATCAAACATTACCAATCATTAATGTATGTTTGAAAAATATTATACTCAAAATTTAGAATTTGAGAAAATTTCTGAAAATCCATCT